TATATATATATATATATATATACACATATATATGTATGCAATCAAAATGTTCAGGTGAAATGGTGAAAATGGCATGGAAAAATATAACAGATTATTACAATCACATAAGGCGCCGTAATGATCGTGCTTCGATTACCGGCATAAGGATGCCCGACTCCAAATGGCAGTTCTATAACATGTTGCATTTCACGAAACAATACAAACCTTTAAGAAGACGGAGAATAGATGGACTGCATCAATCCGTTAAGGTTGTTTGTTATAATACTGATTCAGCTGACAGTGGCTGGCTTTCTCACCACCTACCGTCACTAGAATTTACGTCGTTGCCGTCTTGTCAACGTCACGAAAAACAGTCTTGTCAGTGAGAAGCACTCTTTGTCGGTCTAAAGATGCTTCTTGATGTAATTTATGTTCTGAAGTTCAATTAATGTTGATACGATGAACCGTATGCTACATATTCTCAAATCCATACTTATCGTCGATAATAGCAGTGATGTAGTAACGGAAATGCGGATGAGATTGATGTTGACGGAATTCATTCAGTTCTCATTTCATGTAACATGCTTTGCACTAACGAAATTTTAAAAAAAATTTTTAAGGCTTAAGATAATGAAAATTTAAGATCTCTTCAAGCATCATCTCTCTTTATTCAGACTGAAAAATGGTTCTCGCATTTCGACATCGGTGAAATGTTTCGCTAGATGCGATAAGCGATCACGTCGACAACTGACTCGTTTGAAGATGAAGAAAAAATATGATGTTAAGAGTGAACGTGATGTGAAATTAGAGGACGACGAAGAGGATGAACNAGAACAGTCAGGCGACAGTTTCACATCACAGAAACGATCTCAAAGTATGTTATTGTCTACGAATAACAACAAAAATGATGCGATTGCATCGTTCGGTTAGTTCTCACTTGTTCATATTTAATTCAATATGACCTTTAAATGCTCCTTTAGGCACGTAGCGTTCTAGTAATGCATCTCAATGTTCGTCTAATACAATCCGTTGTTGCGTCGTTGAAAGCGGTTATTTTTCATTGACAGCAAAGAAGAATACCAGTCCTGACCAGTGGCTACAATCAGCCGATCATTTATGATTTTTACACATCATTAATAAGGAACACTTTCAGCCGAATCCATGATTGAACGGTTGATGTTGATAAAAGTCGAATCGAATCCAATGTACGCGAGGATATGCGAATCAATTGACGAAGCAATGCACCAGATTGAGACATTTCTTCGTAACAAACACAAACTCTCACCTTAATTCACTTAATTAAACTCATTTTCAAATTTTGCCTTCTCGTCGTATCGCAGTTCTCGATGCGAGACTAATGGTAAGGATGAGAGCTAGAATTGCGCTCACATCTAGGGTCATTGAGTACTTAAGGGAATGTTCTGCGTTCGGCAGCATCAAGAATATTAAATTTCACAGGTCGATGAAATGAAAAAAAAACTAGTAAAAGGATTTGTTCAAAGTAACTCTTCTGGAGTTTCATACTCTTCACTATTTGACTAACTAACTGCTCGTCATAATATATTATCATCAGTATGTGTATGATTTCGTTGTATTTGATATGGTGTGTTCTTCCATTATCGGGCTTTACGTTGTGGTCGTCATTGAGGAATGAGAATTGTGTGTTGTTGTTTTTACATGCATACGTATATGTTCTGTGTGAGAGATTTATTCGTTGTTAATACATTTGTACATAAATAACCGTTGATGTACAGTTGATTGTTGTGTTTTGGAGAGTGTTTATATGCTTATATGGCTTATGTGGAATTATTAATAAATGTCGCTATCTTCGCTGAATTTTTAGTATGCAGGATTTGTTTCACTTCGAATGAGACCTTTTTTTCGATCGATTTGTTAGCAACAAGCAGAGCTTTTTCGTTCATTATTTAAAAACGTTGGTTTATAAATCTTATGAGTTATCTATGGAATAACATTTCTGCTTCATTTTATGCTGCTTGCATTTGTGGAGAACTAGAGATGACTGTTTCGGAACGGTGCGTTAACAACACAGAGGCATAGAAAATTAGTTTATGTAACTGACTAGAGCGACCGATACTGATCGTGAGGTGAGTTTTAGTTAATGCGTTATTGCTTCTTATCAGCCAGATGAATTCAAGATTTTAGAGTGTTTGGTTGAAAGAAGTTTTTACGTGGTTTGTATGGAAACGCTTCAAGAAAATGAACCTCAACTTATTCTGTAAACGTCAATTGTCGCCGAGATTACTGTTTTGAAGAACATTTGAGTTTTAATGATTTAGAACTTGAGTTCTAATAATTTGAGTTTTAATCTTTTAATGATTTCTGAGCGAGTTGCGATAATTGAATTGAATGAATGGTTATAGGAGTAGTGGCTGCATCTTGAAAAGAATTTGAATTGCAGTTCGTTGCAAAGTTCGTAACGGACTGACAGTGATTGTTGGTTAGAGGAGATGGATGCCTGGTGTAGATATTGATAG